TAAAATCATTGTAACTGAGTAATTTCTGACGTCAGATTGATGAAACTATGAAGGTTTATGGTACACGGTTCCACATGTTCAAACAGCCTGATTGGGTTCATTACCTAAGTTACCATAGTTTCTTCCAAAATCATTAAAAAATCAACAACAACCCTGCAATATAAGTGAAGCTTTAAAGAGAGGAAGCTGTCCTCAATTCAGAAGTAATGAAAGGTCAGTCTGCTTCATGGCTGTCTGCTTTAAACATTTTTTAAAGTGACTGAAAAATAACGGCTTTCTCTCTTTTTGTCTTCCTCCTTCTTGCACACATCCATCCATCCATACATACATAGACTTAGATGCTAAAATCTCAGCAAATAGGTTTTTATCTAAGTCCACATTTTTTCAGTGTTTATGGGAAAGTAGAAATGAAAGAGCCCTGATGCTTCACTGTGCAGAAGCCACCTCTGAGCTAATTTCACAGGCAAGACCACAGCTGCTGTTCACCCACCTTTGAATTGGCTCAATATATCCTGTCTATTTGGGTGGATGTTATTGACTTGCCTCATTTGTCTGTGCTAACAGGATCTTCTTGGAGAAAGAAACAGAAGAAGAGAAGTGGGGATGGAAAAAAAAATAAGCAAAATAATAATAGTAACTTGAAATTGCTACACAGATCCAGCAAGCTATTCCCCCATGGAGTCTGTTTTGATTATATTATTTTGTTAACATGAATCTGTGTGGGTTTCCTGCTTCATAAGTTACTGATTACCTTAAAGGAGAAATTCGGTTTTGCTCGTATGGACACACCCAATACCCCAGTTGCCCTATTCCCTCTCACTTCAGTTGAAGTAATATGACTTTTCTTTAAGAGCTTTCTATGCTTTCCATTTTTATTAATGGTATTTTTGCTTCTGAGCACATTCTTTCACATAAGGACTGCATATTTCATCATTTAATTTTGCTTTGCACAAAGAAAATATTAACCCAAATTAATGAAAATGACATAATGCATCATCCAAGTTTAAGGAAGTCTCCATTGACTCAGGCAAAAGACTCATATTTTTGCAGTGAAGATTAAATTTGTCAGAGATTACTGCCTGCTCAACCATAAATCAGACTATGACAAGCACAGGCTATCAGATCCATGACATCATACTAATTCCCATTTTAAGCTGTGACTGAAACCCAGTATTTTAAAACATATTCTATAGGCTCTGATTAATTCTTGACATAGAATCAAAATTGAATGAATCATTTTACTTGTACTTTTTTAAAAATTTGATATGAATGATTTTTTTATTTAATATATGTACAAATCCACATACATATGTTACAAAAACAAAGTAATTACCACATTTGTGTCAGCTAGAATGACCTACCCTTTAGGATATACATGATATTGATTACAGCACATATACAAGAGATTGATTAAATGTTATCTTTCATAAGTTATGAGAAAGGTCTGTGTATTACCTAAGAACTCTGCAAATTCCTAGAAAAACTAGGATTTGGTGGTCACCTCTGTTTTGGCAAATCCATTTTATTTGACCATTTTCCCATTCTACACATACAGTGCTGTGCACACAGATGTCATTTGTAGACAGCTCAGTTCTTCCTTTCCCATTTCCTAAGTGTTGGAAAACCACAGGTCTCCTTCCCACACCTTCCCTCCTCCACCTCCCTTTAATCCCTTGGTGACCTTATCTAGCACATGTCCTTAAATATCACCCATGGGCTAATGCATTGGTTTTGTATGCGCTGTCACAAATTGCCACAAACTTGGTGACTTAAAGCAATAGAAATGTATTCCCTTATAGTCCTGGAGCCCAGAAGTCAAAAGTCAGTGTCCTTGGACTGAAATCAAGGTGTCAGTAGGGCTGCCCTGTCTGAGGAGGCACTAGGGAAGAATATGTTTGTTTTTTCATTCAGCTTCTGGGGTTGCCTGCATTTCTTGGCTTGTGGCTGCATCACTGCAGGCTCTGCCTCTGGGGTCACATTACCTTCTCCAATTCTGTGAGTGAGAACCTTTCTCTGCCTCTTATAAGGACACTGGTGATGAACTTTAGTGTCCCCCAAAATAATCCCAGAGAATCTCTTCATCTCAAGATCCATAATTTATTCACATCTGCAGAATTTTTTCTTGGAAACTAATATTTAATAGCTCCAGGGTTTAAGACCTGCTAGTTCTAGGGTGGAGGCATGTATCAGTTTACTAGAGCTGATAACTTAGAAATGCATACCTACAACCTCATGTCTCAACATGCAAAGTGAACAAAGCCATAGTCCCTCAGGTCTCTTGTGACACCTCTCTGATCTCGTTCCCCACTATCCTCCCACATGTTCCCTGTGGCTAGGCAGGCTGGATTCTCTGCTGCTCCTCAGGGACTTAGAATTTGCTTTTATTCAGGTCTCTGCTCGAATGTTACCCTTGCTGAGAAGTTGTCCTAATGATCTCATCTCCCTCTTCGTCTCCCTCCCTGTCTCTGTCTTTTCGTCCTCCTCTTCTCCCTTGTGCCCTATCTTTTCCCATCATTCTTTTCCATTTCTTATGTACCTCCTCCTCATACAAAATCACTTCCATCTCTAAGAAGAAACAATACAGAAAATATGCAAAAGAGGCATGTAACCATGATCAGGAAAATAGAACTAGTTATTTCTGTCTTATTAATAATCCAATTATCATATAACATTTTATGCAGTCATAAAGGTAAAATATATATTACAAAAGCAAGTCACTGGTAAGCTTTATGAGAAGTAATATAGTTTTTTCTGGACTCTTTTCAATTATTTCTATATTAAAAGAGTTAGCCCTAGACACAACTGAAGTAGATAAAAAAATAAATAAGTAAATAAATGTGCTTTAGGTACCTAGTCTCACCCTTTTGTGAGCTCTTTCTTCATCCCCTCTCCCACACCCCAAGCCTCCTGCTAAGAAACCCTCCTAATTAAATATCCATTTCTTTAAAAATAAATAAGTAAACAAACCACAAGAAACTTAATGAAAATAGCAGTTCCAGCTATATAATTTGTGGGGTCTGGTGAAAAATGCATGTGTCGGCTCCGTTGTTAAAAGTCTCAAGAATTTCAAGACGGTGGCAACAGAGCATTAAAACAACTGCCAAACCTTCTAAGCAAGGCCCCATGGGATTGTGTACGTCACACAGCCATGAAGTCAGGCTGTTTCATGAGTATTCATTCCTTAAGTATTACCTTTTTCTGTTACTTTCTGTTTTTTAACTTTTTGTTTTGCAATAATTTTATATTCATAAAAACTTAGAAAATAAGGGCAGAGGGGTCTCCCTGTAATCTTTACCCTATTTTTTTTCACTAGGATTTGTTTTTAGAGCCATAAGCTCAGGGAATAATTATTCTTCCTGTTGAGTTTCAGGCATATGAAATCTGGTGAAATGGTTCCAGTTCCCATGAGACATTAGGCTCTAGAGGCCTTCCTTGACCAACACATAGTGTGTGGTGCTGTTTCCTTGTGCTTCTAGAACATTCTGATTGTACTTTATCAAAGCGTATGTCAGACAGCGCCCCAAATGCCTGCGGGCTTCTCTCTCATCATCCACAAATCACCTGTAAGAGGGGAGACACCATGTCTGTTCTGTTTTAAGACAATTCCGAGACTCTGGCAAGTGCTTGGCACATAACAGGTGTTCAATAAACGTGTGCAACCACAAGCAAGCAGGGAACCCAGCTAGCTGGCTACTGTGAGAGGCCACGCGATGACCAAATACTTATCACTTACTAAGATTCTTGTTTTATTGCAGCCCAGATTTGTAGGCATTCTTTATATGCAGTCTGTAAATGTTAGACTGAATTTATGTTATTAGCTTATGATTCACAAATGAACAGTAGGATGGTATGGCAGTTGTTTCAGAATTTGGACGGTGCAGGGCACGTTATTATAAATATCGAGCTGGGCCCTAGTTGCAAGGCTTGTACAGCCTCTTCTTTTTTGAGACGGAGTTTCGCTCTTTTCACCCAGGCTGGAGTGCAATGGCGCGACCTCGGCTCACCGCAACCTCCGCCTCCTGGGTTCAGGCAATTCTCCTGCCTCAGCCTCCTGAGTAGCTGGGATTACAGGCATGCGCCACCGTGCCCAGCTAATTTTTTGTATTTTTAGTAGAGACGGGGTTTCACTATGTTGACCAGGATGGTCTCGATTTCTTGACATCGTGATCCTCCTGCCTCGGCCTCCCAAAGTGCTGGGATTACAGGCTTGAGCCACCGCGCCCGGCCAGCCTCTTCTTTCAAAAGTTTGCCATAATGATTTTTAGCACAGACTGAGGCAGATTTAATAATAATTTTAAAAAGATTGGTGATTGTTTGAGGTTTATCCCTCATCCTAATGCTTGAACAGGAAAGAAGATTGCATCATATAAAGCAAGTAAACTTTCTCTTGTTGTAAGAGATAAATAAAGGGTCAGACGAGCTACTTTTATTTTTTCCTCGAGGTGAATTTATAATGCTTATCTACTTATCTTCCAAAATAGACCCCCATCATCTCACTTTTGAACAAGGCACAGGAGATCAATATCACCCAGAAGAGGTATTCCCTGTGACTGAGTACCCCTCAAAGCAAAGAGAAAAATCACAATTCTGTTGCCATATGAGTCACCAAGATCTTTTGTCTCTAGGTCAGTGGTGTTTTGGATAATCGTGTGGCTATCCTTACATTACGCCAAGCAGGGCAAATCTGGGTTTTAAAGAATTGATTGTTCCTTTGACTTTTTAGAGCTATTCGTTTTTAAAACCCAGAGCAAGACCCTATAGTTACAAACATAAGTGAATCAGACAATTGGATAAATATACATGCAAAGAACAAGACCCACTGGGAATGAAAATGGCTGCATTTTGTAACACTGTAATTTATAACTTGCATGGCTAGGAAAGGGGCAATGGATCCTAAATTATCCTTTTTTATATAAAAAAAAATAGTGCATAACATCATCTCCTACACAGAAAAACCAGTGAGTGGCTGATGTTATTTCTTCCTAGGTAAGGAATGGTTTCTGAGAAGATTGCCCGTGACCTGCCACCCATCATACTGATTTGGGTATCGTCAGCTGTTTCGTTAAGGGCTGTTGCCACTCCCAGTCACTCGTGGCTCTTCATTCTTGCTGCACAATCAGCATGAGCTGTTGTGGGAACTGAGCCACCCCATGGGTGATTGCTGGGCACCAGTGCCACCTGTCAGCTTGGGTTGCCTCCCAGTTAATGACAGCTATGCCGCACTTGCAAGACTGCCTCAAAGTGTCCTTGACAGATTCTGTTTCCTGCTTCATTTCCCAGTCACGGTGCACATGCAGGTAGGAGGCCACCTCACAGAGGCACAGACTCACCAATGGAATGTTTTCTCACTTTGAATATTGGGTCAAATATTTGCCTCATGTTCTTTGTATAGTTTGGAATTGGTGAACGCAGAGAGTTTCTAGTTTACGATGCAGCTGTGTTTCAAAGCTAATTTGGAAATCTGTTGGAACTTGGGCAAAATATTCTTTTAGAAACAAGGCAAAAAATATTGGTTACGTTCTTGAGTCAGCATATCAAAAAATCAGGTAGTAGAACCGTAATGTGACAGTTGTACAAAGAAAAAATATATGCTGACACGGATGTCTTTCTAGCTACTTGTGATAAATTCTGGGTCTCAGCCTATGTAACCCTGTCAATGAGAGCCAGAGGAGAGAGTCTGGAAGGGTGGAGCTAAATTTCCAGTCCACAAACCCATAGGCCCGTGGAGGCTGTAGGCAAAAATTTAGTAATTTTGAGACAGTCAAAATCATTTGGGGAAATAAGATCCACAAGGCAGCACCTTATACGATGGTTCTCTCCACCCTAGCTGCTTCTTGAAATCGCCACAACCAGGCAGGAAATTCAAGTTGGCATCAACGACGCTAAGTCTCATTGATAGAATGTTCCCTCGATTCGCTCTGCCAGCATTACCCCTTCGGTCTTTCAAACCCATAACCCCAGTCTAACCATGAGAACAACTTCAGACAAATTCAAATTGACAAACATTCTACAAAATAGCTGACCAGTACTCTCAAAACCTTGACAGGTCGCCCAAAGAAAATAAAGTCTGAGACACATGTTTCCTATAGACAAAATGTAGTGGGGTCTTTTTATTCTTTTCACATACTCTAACCACGTCCGTCTTTTCGGTGATATGTTAAACCATTCAATTTCAAATAATTATTGATATGGAAAAATTAATATCTATCATGTTTATAATTTTCTGTTCATTTCTTCTTTTTATTTTTAAATTTACTTTCTCTAATTTTAATCGGGCATTTTATGTTTCCATTTTATCTCCTCTGTAGCATATCAATTACACTTTTGAGAATTTTATTGAGTAGGTGCCCTAGAGTTGACACTATGCATTTGTAAGTAATCCAAGTTTACTTCCAAACAACACTATTCCACACTGTGTGCAATGCAGGGACCTTATAATAGTATTCCCAATTCCTCCCTCGCATCTTTTGTGACTCTTGGTCATTCATTTCACTTATACCTATGCTACAATCTTCCAATACATTGTTAACTATTATTACTTTAAACAATCATCTTTTAGATCAATTAGGAATAAGAAAAAATTTTAAAAATCGTTTTACCTTCATGTATTCCTTTTCCAACACTCTTCCTTTCTTTGTAGTTCTTCCTGAAGAACTTCTTTTAACATTTCTTGCTAAACAGTTCCGCTGACAATGAATTCTCTCAGGATTTTTTTTTTTTTTTTTTGGAGACTGAGTTTCACTCTTGTTGCCCAGACTGGAGTACAATGGGGTGATCTTGGCTCACTGTAATCTCCGCCTCCCAGGTTCAAGTGATTCTCCTGCCTCAACTTTTCAAGTATCTGAGACTACAGGCGCAAACCAGCACACCCAGCTAATTTTTTGTATTTTTACTAGAGACAGAGTTTCACCGTATTAGCCAGGAGGGTCTCAGTTTTTATTTGTCTAGCAAAGTCCTTTTTCTCTGTCACTTTTGAAGAATTTTTCCACTGGATATAGACTTCTAAATTGATGTTTTGTTTCTCTCAACAGTTGGAATATTTTACTCCACTTTTTTCATGCTTTCACAGTTTGTGACTAGAAGTCTGCTGTAATTCATATCCTCGTTCCACTATAGGTAAGGTATTTTTTTCCTTCTGGAAAAATTATCTTTGTTGTTTGTTGTTTTCAGATTGAAATTATATACCCAGATGTAGGTTTGGGGGTGGGGAGTTGTTTGGTTGTTTGCTTTTTAGGGGAGGCTATTTACCCTACTTTTGCTCTCTTAACTTCCTGAATCTGTGGTTTGGTGTCTGCCATTAATTTTGCAAAATTCTTGACCATTATTGTTTAAAATATGTTTTCCCTGTTTTCTCTTTGTTTTCCTTCCAGATTCCCATTATGCATCTGATATACCTTTTGAAATTGTCTTCCAGTTCTTGGATACCTATTTTGATTTTTTACTCTTTTGTTCTCTTTAAATTTCATTTTTGGAAATTTACATTAGTCTGTGTCAGATCCTGAGGTCCAGGTGTAGCCCAGGCTGAAGTCTGAGGGGAGTGGGTGGATGAGCAGAAGGAACACTTGGGGGGCCATAGGCAGGTGAATATGGTTTTATTCAACAGCAGCTCTCTTATACAGTTATCTCGAACTAGCTTTCTTATGATCAGCGTTTCTTACACTGTCCACCTTTATCTCAGCTATTTGCTCTGGCTCTGTGGCTCCTGCCACCACCACCACCCCCCCCGCCCCCCGCCGCCGCTACGTGGCTGGCTCTTCCCTGCCTTCAGGGCCATCAGCTTAACTCTCTCTCTCTCTCTGGGCATGAGCAAACTGAGGTGTATCCTGGCTCCTTCCTGTCCATCTGCAAGATGGACAGTTTTGGGTCTCTCTCTTTCTCTGGGCACCAGCATGCCTGCCACGGGAAGCCATGTTGAACTGAGCCAACCCAAGCCCCAAGAGTCAAGCCCCATGAACAGCGTCTGCAGTTATACCTTTTACAGACAACAGTGGCTCCAAGCCAAGGGATGGCATTCCCACATTATGGCTACATGGCTGTGATAACAGGTAGAGTTATATGCCTGCACTCTAAACTTGCTGAGTCATGCAGACCTGGATATCCACCTCAGCTGATTCCTTGACCAAAGCACATCCATGTACCTTACGGCATGTCATCAAGCTCACTGATTCCTTCACTGGGCTATTCACAGTCTGTTCATATGCCCATTAGGTGCACTCTTTCTTTCTGTTAGTTCCCTGCCCCCCGTAGATTTTCATTTTGATTCTTTCTTGTGGTTTCCATCTCTCTGTTTATATTATCCATCTGTTCTTGCATGCTGGGTTTTTTTTTCCATTAGAGCTCATATTAATTACAGTTATTTTTAATTCCCTGTCTGATAATTCAAACATCTGTGTAATATCTGAGTTTGGCTCTGATATTTGCCTTATCTTTTCAGCCTTTTAGCTTCCTTGTAACTTCTTTTGAAAACCATAAACAATTCATTGAGTAATAAAAATGGTATTAAATAGGCCTTTAGTGTGAGACTGTATGTTAACTGGCTAGGAACTGGGGCTGTGTTGTTTACTGTAGTTATAGGTGCCTTGGCTTCAAGTGAGAAGTCTTTGTTTTTGCCTAATCTGTTGTTAGGGGAGGCTATTTACCCTACTTTGTGCTCTCTTAACTTCCTGAATCTGTGGTTTGGCGTCTGCCACTAATTTTGCAAAATTCTTGACCATTATTGTTTAAAATATGTTTTCCCTGTTTTCTCTTTGTTTTCCTTCCAGATTTCCATTATGCAACCTAATATGCCCCTTCAGAGAGCATCTGCCTGTTTCAACAGTTTTAGCTATGATCCGCTGTGATTATAGTACTGTTTTACTGATGTGGTGGGGAAAGTCAGGTGCTCTATAATCTTCTGATTAAGATTTAATCTTTTAGTGGGTCTGTTTCCCTGGGCTGTGACCTTCACAAGTGTTCTCCACCCTCTCCATCTCTTTTAGATAAGATAGGAAGGCTAAATGGGGCTGGAGTAGAAAAAATGCTCTTCCTCCAAGTAGGATAAGGCTGTGATCATCCCCTCCTCCAGTAGGTCTTTGTTACAGAGGACGCCCTGGTGCATTTCAGGATGATTACTCTTCCCTTTCTTTGCAAGAACAAGGAGGAAATCTTTCTCTGCTCTTCACCTGGTGAAGCTTGTAAAGAATTTGCAAAAGTACACCCACCCAAGACTGCAGCCTCAGGAGTGTCTCACTCTCACACCATCAGTCCATCAAAATTGCTACTGAAGCATTTGTCTCAGTCCCTTTCTGCTACTATAATAGAACACCTAAGTCAGGGACAAGAAACAGATGTATTTCTTACAGTTCTGGAGCCTGGGAAGTTCAAGATCAAGGGGGTCCACATCTCGTGGGGGGCCTTCTTGCTGCATTATTCCATGGTGGATGGCATACGGGCAAGAGAGTGTGCAAGACAGAGAGAAAGACAAGAGAGGGCCAAACTCACTTTTATAATAAACCCACCCTCATAATAATAAACCTATTCCCAAAATACTGACATTAATTCATTCTTGAGGGCAGAGCCCTCATGATTTAATCACCTTTTAAAGGTCCCACCTCTTAACACTGGCATTGGATAGTGAGTTTTCAACACATAAATTCTGGGGGACACATTCAAATCATAGCAGCATTCCTGCCAGTTTATGGCTCCAAGTGCGTCTGCCCCAGGTAAGTGGATCTTAGCTGTAACTCACAGGATTTGCCTGCCTCTCCAGATTTCAGGGCGGTGGTTCACCCCATAACCTCAAGAAAATCATTGACTTTTCGGTTATTCAGCTTATTCCTATTGTTAAGATGGGAGTGGTGTTATCCAAGCTCTTCCCTTGTTGAAGCTGAAACCATAAGTTTGCATCAGTTACATTTAAAATCTCTCCAGATGAGTCTAATACGCCGCCAGAGTTCAGAACAACCAGAGGAAAGTGAAGAAGCTTTGAACTCACCTTGCTTTGAATTCCTACTCCAACTTTTAGAACCCGTGACAATGAGCAACTGTGAACAAATCATTACTCTTCCTGAAACTTAGTTTCTGTCAAATGGGATGTTTCCTACTTTTCGGCATTCGCGTAAGAATTAGAAACAATGCAGTAGGCATAACACTGCCATATATTACCTTCTCATTCCTTTTGTTACAACTAGCATTTATTGAGCACTTAACATTTGGTGTGTTCGAGCAGTAAATCTATATTGGCTCATTTTCTCTGCATAAGTCTCATTGAGATAAAGTCTAACTCTTTATAGGTGAAGAAACTAAGGCATAGAGAAATTCAGTAACTTGCCCTGGGTCACACAGGCAGTCAATGGTAGAACTGGCCTTTGACTTCAGGTAATGTGGCTCCATAACCTCTACCTATCCTCTACACTCTACTCCCTGCAAAAGATAATCCATAGTGCAATTAGAAGGCAGTGGCTAGGTTAATTTGTGTGGAATAAAGATGAAGAAAAATGGACACATAGTCACAATAAATTAAATCAAATAATACTGAACATATTCCTAGAAATAATATCTGTAGCTACATAAAAGGTATAGTTTAAAAACCTGTGCTGATAAGACGTTTTAGCCACCAAAATGAATTGACCTTCATTGGAAAACTTTTTTGTACTTGGGTCTTTCCCAGTAAATTCAAGTTGAGAACCAGCATTCTGTGCAGTTTTTATTATATAATCATATTCGTTTATTAGAATAAATTATAAATGTTAAATTTGCTTAAAATATTCTGAATTTGATAAAATTCCTTTATATAACACCATTTAACCTGCATACCTGCTTTGAGTACATTAATTAAGGAAAAATATTTTAATTCGATCAGCCATTTTTCCCATATGAAAGCAATAAATCATTTTGGATTACCTTCCTAAATGCTTGAACCATGAAGCTATACAGCAAAAGAAAAACGCTGTAACTTAGTAAGGCTAATGAATAATTCTTTTTTTAACTATAAATTCAAAAACTCTATGACACCAGATCAATTAGTTAGACCTATAATTTCAATATTAGCACATGGCAACACATTATTTGCTGCTTATACAACAGAATCATAATCATCAATTCATTATTTTTATAACAGCTGTACTGAGATAACTCCTCATTATTAGAGCACTCTCTAACAGGACTCAAAACTCAGGACTAAAAGTTCAAGAATTATCTTAAATGCAAAAATTGATTTTTTAAAATATTCTGAACTGAAAGCTATCTGACAGCACAGCAAATTCTGAAAACTAAAACCCCCTTGCATTGGCCATTTACATTTTATTTGCCATTCTGTTGCAAATCATGTTACAGCAGATGCCTAGTCAGATGGCAGGATTTCTATATGTTTGGATTATGACAAACAGGTAAAACTCACATCGATTTCAAAAGCACTTGGAATAATTACTTAAATCAAAATGCTCTATGTGCTTAATGGAATAATATTCTACTAATAGAATCTTTTGTTGCTTCCTGCTTAGGGAATTCCAGAAAGCTTTCCTGTATCCTAAACATTATCACATTCTTTCAATGAGACCTAAGATACAATCTGTTCAGGTGCCTTCATCGTATGAAAGAGTCATCACTGCAAAATGTATGGCTCCATCATAACCTAATACAACACAGTGATTTGCAATATGGTGATTACCACTGTGATTTGATTCATTAATTCTCAGTAACAGTTGTTAATCAGCTCATTAAGCAAGTATTGTACAGAAGATTTCAACCAGGGGAACCTCTTAAAAACCACTAAATATCTTCTTTTGCAATGGGGAGGAATAAGATATAGGATCAATGCCAGAGGAGTAGTCTATAAATATGGCTGTTTGTCAACTATGGCAAAGTTTTAAATCATTATGCTTTTATAAAACTATATAAATTATGAGCACTTTGTGCCTTTTCCAAAGAAGGTGCTCACAGTGAAATAACTCCTTCCTTGGGCCTTCCTGGATTTAGCAACTATTTTGTTAAGCTGTAGAAACAAACTCTAGGCCAGGCACAGTGGCTCATGCCTGTAATCCCAACACTTTGAAAGGACAAGGCAGGTAGACCACCTCAGGTCAGGAGTTCAAAACCAGCCTTATCAATATGGTGAAACTTTGCCTCTACTAAAAATACAAAAATTAGCCAGGCATTGTGGCATGTGCCTATAATCCCAGCTGCTCAGGAGGCTGAGACAAGAGAATTGCTTGAACCCAGGAGGCAGAGTTTGCAGTGAGCTGAGATTGGACCACTGCACTCCAGCCTGGGTGACAGTGAGACTCCGTCTCAAAATAAAAAGAAACTCTAACCCCACATCTCACATTTCACCAATATGTTGATTCTTTTTCTTGCCTCTATAACATATAATTCAATAATATGTTCAAGTATTTGAAATATTGAAGGTTAGATTTAAATTTAATTTGGGTATGCATTAGTTGACTTTAAGCAACTTATTTTATCTTGAAGTATGTGATAAGTAAATGTCGAGTGATAAGCGAGTTGAAGTGCTTTAACTAACAGTAACAAAAATGTATGACTTACTTCCCAGTTTACAAAGAAATTTTAAACGCATGACGTACTTTAATCCTTACAAAACCTGGAAATATGTTATCATTAGCCCAAATTTACCCACAAAAAACCTGAAGCTGTAGTTAAGTGACTTGCCTAGTTGAAAAGTTTGTACGTTCAGTTCTTACAACCACACACTTTATGTTCTTTCTACTAAAACACACTGATTTTCTCAGCAACTAATCAGAAGCTGGCAGCCTCCCCATGGAAATAGGCCTTGTTTTTGTTAAAGGAAACATTATTGGTGACACTTATTAAAGATGGTAAGGAAGACTTTATCCAAGAAGGACTACCACAGTGGGGTTTTGTATTATAGTAGGACAGAGAGATTAGGCTCAGGTCCAAAAACCATGAGGAAAAGTGGGGATTTATAGCCAAGGAGCAGGGTAGGGTATCAGAGGATGGAAAACTACTAAGAGGAAGGGCAATTGCTAAACTGACCTCACGGGAGTTTTGCTGAAGTTAGGCCAGGGTGATTCAATATCAAGGGTGGTCAGACTGAAGGTGGGGGATTTTTGCTAAACTGATTCAGTAGGAGTCTTGCTAAAACTGTAATAAATGGGCTAAGTGTAGAGCCCAAGATTCGAGCCTTGTCAGAAAGAGGACTGAGAGGGGCCCAGCCAGAGTTAAGTCAAAGAGAGGGAAAAATCTATGCTCCTTCTATTAAAACACGCCGGTTTTCTCAGTGACTGATCGGAAGCTAGCAGGCCTCCCATTGGGACATGTCTTATCATCCATAACCCAGAAGAAGGAGGCTTGAAGCATAAGGGTAAGAGAGATCTAGTTAATGCTTAGAAAGGAAGTGGTCTAAAATCAAACTTCAAGAAAAGTTTCCATGCAGTGTTACTTACATTGGGAAGCACAACCATTACCGAAACCTTCCGATACATCGTAAGTCATTTATCACAAGTCTAAGGAAACTAAATGATGGATCAGACTCATTGAATTAGAGCCAATCAATCATGTGACTTGAAATTATTCCAATGAAATTATAATACCAGCATCTTCTACCATTCTAGGTGCAATGCCTCATGAAGCATGACAAGCACCTGACGTGCTTTTCTTCTGAAATGAGAGAGTTTCTCCTAATCACTTGCCCATGCATACACACAATGCGTGCTTCGTGATCCACGGGCCACTTCCATCTCTTCAGTGGCCTAAGGACAGACATTAAAAATAAGCTCATGATTTGTAAGAAAAGCAGATACGGATGAATTCCAAATAACCATATCCAACTTACATAAACCAGCTCAAGAAGACATTTTACTAATTTAATTTCTGTTTACTAGGTATTGATTGGATTGATCAGTATTCATTCAGATTTGTCCTTGGTTGTGTGTGTTGTGTATTGATTCTACTTTTTGTCAGCCTATTAATTTTCAATAAATAATGTCTCAGAAATTGCAGATGAGCAAATTAAAGTGTAATGTTATAATGTGTAATATTACTTTAAAATCTGTTTTTCAAAACAAAATAGACCAGTATCACACTTATGAAATGTAATTGTACTCATTTTTTTAAAAAAATTTCTGACTGCTTTTATACAAGGACAAACTTTTTATGTTTATAAAATGGAAATAGGGACAACATTGTTGGAAATGTTAGCCTCCTAATGTTGATAAGAATTGTGTTTCTACAATCTCTGTTCTTGAAATTATGCTGCATCTACCACTGTCCTAAAATACAACTTTCAAGAAATAATAAAGTCAAGCCTAAATGTGTATATTGTCAAATTTCTCAAAGAAGAAAAAGTTATTGTTAAAATTTCTTAAGTGGCTCCTGAGTCCTCTTTTTCTATTTCCTTATTCCATCGGCACTCCTGCTGTTCTTTTATTACACATTATGCTTTGTCCTCTATTTTATAGGTATTATTGTTCTCTTTCACTCTTGACCAGACCAAAAGCTAGTATTACATACAGTGTACCTTAGGAAATCCTGCCTTTGAGGAATATCCCACCAAGTATAATGGAAAACCTACTCTGTGCCAGGTATGGTGGCTCATGCTTGTAATCCTAGCACTTTGAGAGCCTGAAGTGGGCAGATTGCTTGAGTCCAGGGGTTCAAGACCAGCCTGGGCAACATAGCAAAACCCTGTCTCTGCAAAAAAAAAAAAAAAAAATTAGCTAGACATGGTGGTGAGTGCCTGTAGTCCCAGCTACTCGAGAGGTGGAGGCAGGAGGATCTCTGAGACAAGGAGGTCAAGGCTACAGGGAGCTATGATCACACCACTGGACTTCAGCCTGGGTGACAAAGTAAGACTCTGTCTCAGAAAAATATTCTTTGCATTGAGACCCTCTCCTGGTACATTCCAGGAGAAGTCATTGGTAGTTACCAGGAAATGCAGTCCTACCTGTTTGTCATATCTAGAAATATTCTATTCTGTGACCTGTCCAGCTAGTATTATAGACTTAAATCATATAATTATATTATTATATATCATATATATATATAATTATATATGATATATAATAATATAATTATATCATATAATTATATATTATTATATAAATATATAAATTATATATTTATTCTAGTTATCTGAATAATACAATTAAAACTTGCAGGGCAGTTTCATCTGAGATGACAAATAGCATAGCTTATCATTATTTATTATTGAAAAATTTCTAGACCAATCTGCCTGCAAAAGACCAGTCCAGACTTCAATGGAAAAATGGTATGCTGGTGCTAAAGATACTGAGTTAGAACTTGAGGGACAGAAAAACTCACACCACAGATGAGATTAAGAATACAGTCAACTACTCAGATGGAAATTTGGCAGAGTTGGCAGGGGAGGTGGGTTCTCATTCAGAAGGACCATCAAAATGGGATGCATAGAATAAATGGTTAATAAAAATGCTAGCAAGTTAGGGTTATTAAGGGTCTCCAGTTTAATGTAGAATACTTGAGAAGCTCAGAATCAGAAACTTCTCTTGTGTAAACCATTTTTCAAGTGACTTCTTCAGGCTTTGGTGAAATCTGGCTTGTGTAAGATCATGTAACAATACTTTTATCAATTTGAGAGAAACAAATGCATATTAATTAAACTTATCTAGGTTATTTGGTCATTTACTGAGAGGGTTATACAGAGTAAAGCTTCTGTCAACTAAACTCAAACCTAAACAAAATCTTAAATCATAATTCATTGTGCTTCCACTTTTACAAAAAAAAAAATAGGTCAATTGTAAGAAAACAAACTGAGATCAAAGATTAGTTAAAAAAAAACTTCTAGGATTCACACTACATTTTTCTAAATGATCAAAAAGGATTTGACTTTATAGCTAATTATATTTATCCTCAGACAACAAAGTTTCATATTTTGCATGATTTTTAGCAAGCAAAGAAACAGTGTTATATTAGTGAGGACCCTCTTGGATACAAGTCAAAGAAAAACCAACAAAAACTGGCTCATGTAAATGAATTCCACATGAATCCAAACCAGTTGGATTGAACTCATCAGGACCCATCCTCTGTCTTTTGGTTCAGCTCTTGTCAATTTGACTTGACCCTCAGTCTTTGGATTGGAACACAATCACTGTCAAGAGTCCCTTAGTTAGCTTCTCCCAGGTTCAAATACAGAGGAAAGAGTGGGTACCCCTTTCTCTGCAGTGACAGCAACAGCCCCAGTTACATCTAATTGACTTGGAGTCTTTGTGCGTAAGGGACTATGACTCTGACTGGCTGGACTGGAACATCAAAACACTGAATATCCATTGTATTAGTCTGTTCTTGTATTGCTAAAAATAAATGCCTGGGACTGGGTAATTTATAAAGAAAAGAGGTTTAATGGGCTCACGGTTTTGCAGGCTATACAGGAAGCATTATTCTGGTATCTGCTCAACTTCTGGGGAGGCCTCAGGAAACTTAGAATCATGGTGGAAGGTGAAAGGGAGCCTTACGTGGCTGGGAGCAGAGAAAGAGAATGTAGGAAGGTGCTACGTACTTTTAAATGACCAGATCTTGTGAGAACTCTCTCACAGGAACAGCACTAGAGGGATGGTGCTAAGCCATTCATGAGAAACCATCCCATAATCCAATCACCTCCCACCAGGCCCCACCTCCAGCATTGGGGATTACATTTCACTATGAGATTTAGGTGGGGACACAGATAGAAACCACACCATCCACTAAAGTTCTTAATGAATTCTTAGGCTCCACTAGGAGCTCCTCTATTATATGGATTTAGTTCTTATGAAAAATTTTTATCTCCACTACTTTACACAATACATGGCACCAAGTAGATGCCCAATAAATGCATCTTTAACTGAAGTGGACTTTTTTCATTATTTAGTAATTTAAAAAATTAATAAATCTATTAGAAAAAAGTTTGAACTTGAGTTGGCATCAGGACACCCAAATAGAAAGAAATATAAACAGGGATGACATAGAATCAGAATACGATTTCTAAAATTGTTTTCCATGGAACATTAAGTCCTTGACATGCTCTGTGAGGAAACGGATTTGGGAAATGATGATTGCCATATCTCCCTCTTGTTGACTCACAGGGATTATTACAGAATTAGGAACCCCAAGAATCCCATGAGTAATTAAGACTGCTTTACTTTGTCATTAGCATTTCCCACATTTACATGTGGAAGGATTTGTCATACAAATCATTTTGGAAGGCAATGGGCTGCAGGCTGTATGGTTGGCTTGGGTGGGGAACAGGGGGGTTTCAGACACATGATACCATTAAGGAAAAATGTTTAAATGATATAAACGTTCATACAAAATAAATTGTTTAATTACTAAAGAATAAAATATAACCAAACAGTAAAAATTATAAACATCTATATTTACTGGCATGAAGTCTGTGGCATATAATATATGTAAAACACATTTAAATCAATGTTCATTGTCTCATTGCATTTTTTAATAGAAATGATTAAGTAGGCATTTTTAGTCAGGGAAAACCTCTCTAAAAGTGTACAGCAAAAAACATAATGAATGGGAGGATGTTTGTGGTTAATTTTTATTTTCTTCTTTGATCTTTTGAATTTTTGGATTTAGGGGATGTATATGTGTGTTTTTTCTGGCCATGGGCATGTATTGTTTTTATAAAGTTTTTTTTTAATATTAATTTTTCCAAAATTTACATAGCATTAAGTATTATTAATATCTACCCTTGCTAATTTGAACATGTTGATGCACTTTTAACCTCATGTACAATTTCAAACTCATATGCTTTATTCTTTTCTCAAAAATAAAAGTACTTCTAGGTGCTACAGAAGTCAAAAAGAAAGGCTTGTAGCTAGAGCACTTCAAAAACTCCTCAACCAATTCATATTTCAGCTGCCTCAGTACCAGATTTCAATGAAGCACATGAATCAGAACAACTTGACATTAACATCAGTCCAATAGAGATGTCAAAAGTATAGGGTGCAATTAGGAGCTAAAAAATAACAAAGCGAAGAGATATCATCAAGTCACAGCAGAGATTATAATAGCCCTTGACACTAGCCAACTAATGAAGCTGATTGAACTATTCAATGGCTTTTATTTCAGGAATGAAGAGGTGGGAGTGGAGAAGGACCTTCCTGGGTAGTGGAAAGATGGAATCACTGATAGAATATCCTCAGAGGAAGCTCTCAAACTGCTAAGTTGGAATAAAACTGTCACACTCTGGGGTCAGCATAAGCTTGTGCTGGGCATGGTGAGGTCACGGATGCAGCAGGCAGAAAGATTGCATGCTTATGTCCAGATCTAAGAAATAAAGTCAGTTCTTCATCATTCACACTTACAGAAGGTCTCAGAGACAATGGAAACTTCTCTCCCCTGGTCTCAATTTTTTTTCTTTTGTCCAATGTTATACCTGAATAAAGAAAGAATTACTTCTCAGGTATGAGTGATGCAGGCAGATACTGGCATATAAATTGTCTTGCACTCTTTCCAAGGGAAAAGAAATGGCAAAGCCCTGGCAGGAGACAGAATAGCAAAAGTGTGTTGGGCTCAGTTCTTACCCAGAAGCCCAATGGCTGTTGGATGGCCAAATGCTGAAAGAGATTTTCTCTTTGATATTTTATTATGAAAATTTTTCAACATATACTAAAGTTGAAATAGTACAGTGAGTGCATATCTACTCATCATCCGGATTCAGCATGCATTCTCATTATCGCACATGGTTTCTTAATGTAGATACCTAATCTCTGTTTGTTTTCCTGAATCTAAAACTTGAAAGTGGGGTATAGAAATCATGACATTTCACTTCTACATTCTTCAGTCTGCATCTCCTTAAAAAAAGCACCTTTCTATATAAAGAAAGGAACATGATCATACTTGTTAACATTTTTTAAAACTCTAACATCATGGAATCTTCTTCATGCAAATTTTATGTTATTGATTGTTTTGCTTTAAAAATTTATTTTAGGAGGGAGGGATTGCCAAAGCTTGGTTAATGGAGACAAAAGCACAACTAGATAGAAAAAATAAGTTGTAGTGCTTTATAGAGCTACAGAGTTATTATAATTAACAACAATTTATTGTATATTTTTAAATAGCTAAAAAACTAGATTTCTGAGTGTTCCCAAGACAAAGAAATGATCAATGTTTGGAGTGGTGGATATATAAATTACCAGATTTGATCATTAGACATTGTATACATGTGCCAAAATATCACATCTTACCCCATAATTATGTATGGATTTTTACATTTCAAATAGTAATAATAACACCAAAAAAGTATTTTAAAGCCAGTCTTTTAAAACCAGGA